GGCCGTTCCTGCCGCGGGGAGGACTTCGGAGCGGCCGCCGCGCTGGGGGCGCTCGCGCCGGATCCAAAACTAAACCCTCGCGAGAGCAGCTCCACCTCCTGCTGCGCCTGAACAACGTAGTACTGGATTAAAAAGGGCAACACGAAGCGCAGGTCCTCCTCGGAGGCCTTCGTCGCGCGGGTGAGCTTTTCGAGATAAATACACGCGCGGAAGAAGTTCTTGCAGCCGATGTAGTAATTCCCGATGGAGCGTACCATGTTCGGGTAGACATCCGAGTTGAGGGGCTCATAGACCTCCGCGCGCTCCAAACACGTGATGCTCTCCCCCAACCGACCCTCGTGCTCAAGGCATTCGCTCACCGCGGTCCACATGCGCGGGTCCGTCGGCCTCAGCGACGTGGCATGCCAATAATAGAACAAGGCATGATGGTACGCCTGCAGGAGCTCGTAAATCTGCCCGAGGTTATACCAACCGCGGTAATCCCGCTCATCGAGCGCCACGACGGTGCGGTAGGCCTCGATCGCGGCGGTCGTATTCTTCGTCTCCACGTAGGCATGCCCTAATAGGGTCCACGCCGCAACGAAGTCTGGCCGAATCGCCGTGGCGCGCCGAAAGTGCAACACCCCCCGTTCATGTCGTTTCAGGAGGACGTAGTAATTCCCCACGACGAAGTTGCTTTCCGCGCGGAACGGATCGGCGTGGTACATCTTCTGCGCGAGGCTACTCAACGTCAGCGTGTCGGGCTTCATGAACAAGACGTTGGAATAGTCCACGATGAAGTCCATCCGGTACGGATCGGCGGTGTGAATTTCCTTATACACCCGCTCCGCCCGCTCCATCTCCTTCCGCTGATGGCAGTAGTAGGAAGCGAGCTGCACACGGAGGTAGAGGCTGCGTGGGAAGCGATCCTGGATGAGCACCTGCCAGGTGTTCATCATCCGCCATGGGGAGGTCGGAGAGGGCTCGGGTGGCGACGCGAGGGCGTTTCGGTGGTGGGTTGCCGGCGACGGCGCCGACGCGACGTATGTCGACAACGGCGCCACCCCCAACGCCGCCTTCGTGTGCGCGAGAAAGATCTCCACCATGAAATCCGGATCCACCCCGTCGAGAATCCCACGCAGCTCCTCGAGCTGGGATTCCCGATTCACGAGCGTCCCGAGGTCCTGCCACGCCATCCACAGCAGCGGGTTCACACAAACGCTCGCCAAGAGGTAGGTGGCGCTCTCCTGCCGCATCCCCAGATCCCGCAGGACGATCCCCATTAGCCAGGTGAGGTAGGGATCCTGCCGGAGGAGCAGCCCCGCGGGTTCGGAGTTCACCCCAGACGACCGACCCCCCCCCGGCGGCGGAGGAACGGAAGAGGGGGGGAAGGAAGCGGGAGAAAAGGCGGTGGGCGCCGTCGTGACCCTCCCACGCGTGAGAAGGCCCTCTCCCCGCCCTCCGCCGGTTGGTTTCAGCTCCGCAGGAAAAGGCTGCTGCCGGGGCGCGTCGCCTGCGCCTTTGGGTGGGGTTCCCACACAGAAGTTCGGATTCCGCAGCGCGTCGAGCAGAAGCCCCCTCAGAACGCGAAGATGCGGGTTCATCGCGCGATGCGGAGGATCCCCCGTACCGGCTCCACCGGCAGTAGGCGTGTTGGTGTGCTTGTATTTCTGCCCATCCATGTAAAACGCGTAGAGGCAGAGGAAGGCTACACAGGACGGCAGGCGGGTACTCTTGAAGGAGGCCCCAAGCAACTCATCCCCTAGGCGCGTACTCTCATTGAGATCCCCTGCCTCCTCGACTTTAGCACGCGCGGATACATTTTCGCTGCGCGCAGGGGAACTGAACCTCGCCGCCGTGTTTTTCGGATACGGGGCGGGGGTGTCGGTAGGGGCGGCGACACCACCACCGCTTTCATGGGAACTACCACTCCCTAGCTCACGCATCGCCTTTAGTAGAATGGAATAGCAGCGCATGTACTCACCGCTGAGAAATAAACTAAGGCCCATCCGATGATATCGTTGAGCCTCGGAAGAAAAGCTAACCGCTTCTAGTGAGACGGAACCCCCAATCGGGTGACTGCGGTACGGGGAATAAATACACCGATCCATCTGCATCACCTCCCGCAAGGGGCTAGTGGCGCTGAGCTCGGCAGCCAATACCTCCGGCGTCGCGCTAAGCGCCAGCTCGCTCAGCCACTGCGCGGTCTCCTGTAAGCCGCGATAGAGAGATTGGTCCGCGACGGCGTCCATGGCCTGCCCAACCGTCATAGGGGGGGCTAATTCAGCGCGGAAAGGCACGCTTGTCTCCATGATATCTAGTCACACTTGTGCGTGTGATGTTTGAACTATCAGCTTTTCTTTTGAGAAAAAGTTTAGAGCAGAAGGGAAGCCTGATGTACCCACTTATCCTTTTCACATACCACTATATGGCCACAATAAAAGCACTCTTGTTCATCCGCTCCCATGCATATAACGGGGAAAAAAGGGCTGTACTAGAGCCTAAAATGGAGATAATTTTTTGGAAATCGCCTAAAACCATTACTAGTATGCGATGCAACTTGGCACTCGCGAGGTTCGTCGGCTCAACTAAAGCCACCCAAAACTCTACCCCTGATTTCACTCATGGAGTCTTCATTCAACAATAGTAAAGATGGATATGATTACCCTAGATAGGCTCTACAGGGACCCTTCCCAATCATAAAAACAGTATCAGTGGAAAAAGCAATAACCATGAGTTCATTTGAAGCCAACACTGTTGATGAATGACAAAAATCACACAGGTAAACTAGTAAAGAACCTTTGTATTTCCTCAAGGACTCAGATATTTTGCTTTAACAACCGACTCAGTTATCATATGAAGGTCATGGTGCATGGACATCAAAACGAAGTCCCTCAAGAGGTGCAGATTGACGACAACACACGGGTATAAAAAATGTTGAATATACCCGCCTTCTCAGGGCTCTACACAAAGCACTCCAGCACAAGAGTCGTTAATACGATGGCGATGTTCGCACCATCGAGGGAGCTGAAAGACCTGCCACGCCTGCAATACAGAAAGACCTTCGAGATGATCCCCACAAGGGGGTGGAGAGCCCCTCAATGGTGCTTTCCGCCATATAAAGCGCAAATACCCGACTGAAATCGCCAAAGTGAGCCGCAGATTCTGTCAGAGAAGTCAGTTCCCCCTCTTCGTTTCCTCTGCAACGGGTGCTACTGGTGTATTGCCAATATATCCTAGAAACAGGTGGAATATGACTGACCATCCACTATATCTTTGCTTTGTCACCACCATTTGTATTCAAAGGGGTGGAAATATTCTGAAAAGAATGCGTTACTTTGATGAGTCTAGACCCATTCCTTTCTCTTATAAGTGTCAGCCTTTGTTAAGCATAGGATCTCCTAAACATCCTAGTACATCCGCATTGTCTTGAGGTTTGAGGACCAACAAAACTTGATTGAAAAGTAACAAAGAGAGTGACTCATCAATAATTGGGAAAAAAAAGAGTTTGAAATGGCGTCATGTTAAATTTTCCATCGTACTGATGTGGAGAAAAAAGGATGATCCATCAAACTAAGATAATTTAGAATATGTATTTATGGAATTTAACATGCATCTCTTCGTTGAATTATTAGAGTAAATATTCTCTTATCTTGCATTTTTCTTCACAAATACATCGTATATCATATTTCTTGAAAGCTTGTGCAAAAAAAAAAGCAAACAAATGAAGCTTCGGCAATGTAGAATACACTAGGAGGGAATTAATGTAATATTTTCGTCACAAAAAAATTTTAACAACACAAAAATTAACAAAAAAAACTGTAATAAGGCAAACCATTCAGAACACTCAACATGTTTTTACTTCAAAGCTTTCTTGCAAGTTCACTCTCGTGCTGTATTTGAATCAAAGAATTCTGTAGATCATTCATATAGGTTACAATAGCACGAATACCAAATAAAAAAGCCTCCATGCTATGAATATCACGATTTGTAAGAGCATAAATACCCTTTTCGGGGTTAAACATGTAAGAATCAAGGTCCTTGTCCTCTTGATTATATGCTCCAGGATCCGTATGCTTTTCATTGTACCCGCTCCTCGATTTCGGCAATGCATCCCCTTTACCACCAGCTATCCCACCCATATTCATTTCAAATATACCCCTTTCAGTTCGTGGATTGTTCGAACTGTTCTTCTTATCAGTATATGTGGAATGGTTATCGGTGCTCACGGTTGTCCTGGGTGCCTGAGTGGCCGCGCTGACGTTGGGATAGCTTTCCCTTTCCGCTCCACCTGGGGGGTGGAAGCCGTGCTGCGGAGGAGCCCCTGCGACTGTCCCAGCGGCCTGGGATGGAGAAGCCCCGGAGACTCCCGCAGAAGGCCCTGAAACTGTCACGGAAGGCATCTCCGCCCCCTCGATGGACGGTGCGAGCAGTGGAAGGGGGATCGGGAGGGTGCCGTTGGGGACGGCATCGCGGACAGCCTCCCCTGCCTCCACGTCCATACCGCTAGAAAACGCAGCGGAGTTGTCTTCCACCTCGCCGGCCGGTTTATCTGGCCTTTTTTCCTGGGACATATGGGAATGTTCTGAGCCCTGATCCGGTTTACTCGAATCGTCATGTTTGTCTTGGTCTTCCTCTAACCTCACGAAAAAGCTTCCCGTAGGATGACGCTTTTTAAACGACGCATTGTTGTCGAAAAAGCTAAGGGGACCTCCTTGAGTATCATCGGAATCCTTCTTGAAGGACTTGTTCTGTACGAATGAGTCAGCTAAATGGATAGATGCTTTTTTATCGTCTGAGCCATCCTTGGCGGAAGTGATGCCGTGCTTCTTACGCAGTCTGCTTATCATTGCATCATCAAATCCCGCTAGCGACATAAGCTTGACATCGTTGCTCACCGTAAGCACGCGCGACGGCTCTCCATCCGGGGCCTTGGTAAACGACGAGTTTGTGTTCAGTCCCACGACACTGTTGGATAACTGGTTCGAGGTCATCGGAAGCGACACAAAACTCGTTCCAGATACAAAATTCCGCAGCATCCTGAGCTCCTCGCTTGTTGGCTTGTAGGAAATATAACCCTTCTTTTTGCGCTTTTTCGTCCCATGCTCCGAGGCATCATCACTCGTGTTACTGTTGGTTTTTTCGTCGTGATTAGTATGATCATCTTTGACATCCTTATGGGCGGCTCCAGCCGCGTTAGCAGAGTCTTGGTTTCCTAATACGAATGGTGTGGGATCGCTTGCGGGATTCAGAACCTCAGAAAAGGACCTCGCTGGACTGCCACCACCACCGTCGCTATCTTTGCTCGAGTGGCTGAGGCTTCTCGAGAACCTAGAGCCCGCTTCAGAGGAGATGTCTCCGGAACTCTCTTCCGTCTGCATCCTGTACTGAACGGTCTCGATGTATGTATTGAGGATGGCCTCGTAGGTCTCGATCATGGAGGTACGAAGTCGAGTGAAGTGGCTGGTCGGAACCGCCACCGATTTGGAGAGAATCATCAAATGCAAATCCACCGAGGAGAAAATCAGGTCCGACAGGTCCTTCGCGTGTGGCGCGATGCGGTGCAGTGCAACCCAGTGAATGGAAAGGGACGTCTCGGAGGTTGGGCTGCTCGACATGAAAATCGAGTATGCGAGGCTCATCATGCTCAGCGCCGAGTGGAGCTTATTCTCGCTCTGGATGACCTGCCGCCAGGCCTCCTCAGGGAACTCAACGGAAGTCAAACTTGGCTCCTCAATCGCGCCCGGGATGTGATTAAGCTGTGAGCCAATTTTCGATGACATTTCTTCCAACAGCGCAGTGACATCCGCCACGACCTCGGAGAAGTCGTACGGCATGTCTAGGTTGCACAGCAATCGCGTGGAGGACTCGCGGAAACAACGCAGGCTCACGTCGAGGTCCATTCTGATCTTGGTGATCCCACGCATAGGCCATACTGTGCACGCAATTACAAAATAAAACACAATAGCAAAACAGTTTTGATTGATACGCGTCATGGCCGCCTCACTGTTCGTGTACTGTGTTATCACAGAGATAACACTACACACAATCGCGTTACCGAAGGCGTAGTAGCTGGGGGCGGCCTGCACGAATCCACCAATGAAGCTCAAGACAAAAACCATCGCATAGAGCAGCACCCGCCGTTCATTGGCGAGTTCGACACTCATGTAGGCGGCAATGGATCCCAAGACAGTTCCCTGCAAACGCCCGGTGGCGTAATGAAAACTTGCCGACCCGGTTGGATTGTAAATTAACGCGATGACAGAGGCACCGGCAACGGCGCTGGTAGGATTGTTAGCCATCGCGTATATTTGAAATATAACGGGTACGACCATGCAAAGGGTGAGCTTTATCGCCTCCTTAAGGCGGCGGGTAAGGGTTCGGTTGTAAACCAGTGCCATTAAAAGAGTTTTAAACGCTTTTGCAACGCTCTTTATATCCCGAACGGGAAAAAGAAGGAAGTGGATAATACTATTCGGCGGCGATGAGTCTTCGGCGAAGGTACCAACCGCCTCACAGAGCTGATCAACACTAAACATGAAAAAGCCTAAAAACACGTCTGACTGATCGGTTTCATAGTTTTCATTGTCTAAAATCACATCCTCGCGAGCACGGGAGAGGGATTCCTGGAAGCGAGCGTGCGCTTCGCGGAAAAAGGCGACCTCTGATTCTACATTACGGCTTGGATCAGCAATCTTGAGAATCATACTGTCTATAGAAGAAGTTATATAAGCCAGATCATCATCTATCGCCGCACCATACTCCAAACACGTTGGGGTAGCTACAAGCGATGGTTTCTCACTAACGAGCTCGATAACTTGAATCATAGAACCAAGGATAGCGTGTACTTTTTTACAAAACGCAAAGCGTACCCGCATCTTCGCACGAAACCTTCCCATAAGCGGCTCATAGTCCGACTCACTCATGGAGACCTCGATTTTTGCGATGCATTTCTCGGCGGTTGTACGAAGCTGCCGCAAACGCATCATGTTGAGGTCGCGTTCAAAGGCCGTTCGAGTCCAAAAGCTTCCACAAACCCCCTGCACCTCGATGCTCAACACATTTCCGAGAGCCATCATGTAATGCTTCGCATTACCGCTAGACCAGCGGATGAAAGGAATTAAAAAGGCTGCCGTGCCAAAAGCCAGCGCGATTAAGATTGTAATATAGTATTGAAGACAATACATGTAACCAGTACTTCCATGATCGATCATATATTGCATCATGACGGACGAAACGGTGAAGGCAACCGTTTTTTTGGTCTCTTCAGAGATAAAAGAAGATAACAAAATGGCAATAGCCATAAGCAGGATACTAACCCAATGGGGACTCGGGTTCGTGGCAATAATCACTCCGGACAGGAGTAACCCACAAGTGAAGCCTTTCAAGGCAATGAAAAGCTCCCGAAGACCCGAACCGAAGGTGGGCATGCTGATCCAAAAGGCGGTGAAGGGTAAGGTGGAGGCAAACCCCTTTGGCACGATCTCACGCGTCGAGGGCTCAAGAGCTAGTATCATGGTGGGCAACACCGTAAGCAACGAAGAGCGCACACTCCAGTCGATCTTCTCCCAGAAACGCGGCGAGGACAGGATGGAAAAAAATCTCGTCCCGAACCCACTGGTGGGGATCTGCTGGCGTTTATCCCATGGGATCGAATGAAGTACATTGATATCAAACTTTCTAAAGTTTTGCTCATTGTGCTCGTCCTGGTCATTCAGAACCTTTTTAGGCTTGGTCGTTGTCAAGGCTCCAGATTTACCGTCTCGCTGCGGAGGTTTCTTTTTATTCGAACTGTCACCGCGCCCATTGTCTTGTCCACCCCCTCCTCCTCCTCCTCCTCCTCCTCCACCACTATCACCGCCGCCAGCACCGCCGCAAGCACCGCCGCCAGCACCGCCGCCGGTGCCTCTGGAGTTGTAGCCCGCACTACCCGCGTACTGGTTTTTGTTAGCGTTATCGCTCCCCTGCGGCTTTCCACCCTTGGCAACGGTCGTTAAATTTCCGTTGGATTGGTGCGATGACAACTTCCCCCCAACCACCTCCGTCGCCGTGATGACGCCCATGGTGTTGCTAGAGTAGGATGGTATGTTTTTCCTCGGCAGGACCCATCCCCGCCCGCGGGGCGCGAACTCCCGCGGATGGTTAAACTCGCGAAAATTGCCATCGCCGTCGAGGCGGTCGGTGCTGTTCGCAGGGCTGCGCAGCACCCTTGTCATCGGGTACGTCTCCACGGTGGTGATCGCGCGTGAGGGTTTATCCCGAAACGAACTGGTGGACTGGGAGCCCTGCATCCGTCCTCGCGGGGCCCCTCGCGCGACGACGACGCCGTGCACCACCTCCTCCTGCGCGAGCAACGGGGCGCGGCGCGACTTATGCGACCCCCCCTGCCCACTGGTTTGATCGGGGGAGTATACGTAGAGCGTGCCGCCGCCGTTGATCTCCTCCAGCGCGCGGAGGTGGCTGGCGGTGAGGAAGCCCTGCTTCCCGGCCCGACGAGACTGCATCCCGAGCCTGGCTTGGTCGAGTGGGAGGGCCTGATCGAATAACTCGCTATCCCGATCGGATTTTTTCTTCATGTTCATCCACTCCACGGCGTTCATCCACTGGGGCTTCTGAGAGGTGTAGCTGGTTGGCAGCGAGGACGCCTCCCGCGAATGCGCTAATACGCCCCTTTGCATGCTCAATTCACCCGTGCGGGGAGATCGCAGCGCGCCGTGTCCGTTGTTCGAGCCACCGTAGGCTTGGCGTAAGGGGTACCCCGAAGGGGATAGCGACCTATGACTTGCCTGACGATCCATCGTGTAGTATGCCGCGCCCATGCTCCTTCCTTCCCTCCCGTCCACTCTCGGATACGAAGCTTGAAAGGGCTTTTTGGGGGATGTTTTCTGCATGTCTGAATCAAATCGCTTTTCCAACGCTCTTCCATATTTATCGAGAGTTCCCTTGCTGTTATGTCCTTTGGATGTTTGACTGTACGTATCCGGCTCAGAGGCGGGTTCCGTGCTGCGAATGGTATCATGTTGCGAGTTTACCGGACTACGTACCGCGAGGCGACCCTTTTCGTAGTCAGATAGAACGGCCTGTGCGTGGTTCGGGGATGTTGGTAGGAAAACATGATCCTCGGAGGAATGGCTGCGTTCGGCGTTGGGATATCGAATTCGGGGCTGGGTTGGGGTGCCCTTCGAGTCAGCAACTGGGGGTAGGATCATGCTGCTTGGTGAAGCGGGTTGGGCACTTTTTGAATTTGGTCGCTGTGTAGCATCGGACGAACTCGCTGCCTTTGAGCTCGGGTCCACATGTTTTTCCACACGATTCGGTTTCGAAGAGGTCTCGTCAGCGTAGAGGCGCTGAAGGTGAGGCAGAAACACTTCTTCCTCATTCAGCGCAGGTTTATCCGTGTTTCTGTCGTTCTTGAGCTCTGGCTTTGTGTTAAAGTTGAGGGGGTTCTCGTCCTCCTTGATAAGCGCTGATGGCATCTTCTCCTGACTCGTCAAAAACTGTACCGCTTTAAGTCTCTCCTTTTCAGAAGGAAGAGCAGTTTTCCCAAGTAAAGGTGCATCGAGTGTAGAAGCGGAGCCACCAAAAATAAAATTTTCATTGTGCACATCGTCAGACATATTGTTGTACCCACGATATCTCTGTTCCTCATGTTCGTAAGAGTTTGCATCAGAGGTTTCGGAAAAACTTCCCTTTTCCATCAGTGATCATGAAAAGAAAGTACAATCTTTTTTGCTACTTATGTGTTTCTGTTGTTGCCAGAAGAAATGTTTCACTTTTGGCGAAAATATGAACAACACACCCGAGGAAATGATTCACACTTAACAACCAAAAAAGGAAAATTACACTAAGTAGAATTAGAGGCCCGTAAGGCTCAGAAGCAACTAAAAATTTTAATTGAATTTTTATCAAATTTATACTAGACTTTCTATTGCTTCTCTCTCTGAATTAGATAATAACAAGAAAAAAATATTTTTCACTAAATACGAAATGTTGATATTTGGAAAATTCTAAATGGTTTACACTGAAAACCGTAAGTATCTTTTACAGAAAGAAATGTCTAAACCTACGTCAATTTTTTACCTTTCAAATACTGAATGTAAGAAAAAAACCTTTATAGATATATATTGGTTTTAGGTTTTAAATTCGCTTAATTCAATATGACAACTGGTTTCTTGACATCAATTGATTAGTTAAAATGACAAGAAATGCAAGAGAAAAGAGGAATGAAGAAAATTGTAAGAGCAAATCAATACAGGGAGCATCTAAAAAGTCAACAGGGAGACGTATTGGCACTTTTCTGAACACATTTATCGATGGAATTTTTCACACGCTTAAAAGAGTGCGTCTATTTGGAATAAAGCAGACGAGTAGAAAAACAAATGACAATTCACGTCATTAATTGTGGTGGAAACGCATAACCTATAATTTTTCGCTTAATTATCTGCTTGTTTAACTTTTATATATCAATAAAAAAGCTCTATAAGCACAGCAAGAGGAAAGAGAACCCTAATCACTCTTGTGGCCACTGTATTACTATCATGTTGCTTGCAAAGCTGCCAGACCCAACTCGCGATTACCAGAGCCCCATCTATAGAGAAAGTAGAGGTTGAATCGCGCGGCCCTTTGAATCGCTATGGAGCATTCTTCCGGTACGCAGAGATCACGTATGATGCGCTCGTAAAGCGGCGCGCACAGGTGATACAGTCGCAGGTAATGCAACGCGCGCGCAGAGTTGTATAAAGCCTCACCCATACGACTCGGATCAAGGGCGACGAGAAGGGTTTGGTATTGGGAAAGATAATACACCCCCGCTGAGACGCATTCCTCGCGCAGCGTCACCCGCTTTTGGTGGCTGCACAGCACGTAGCAAAGACCTACCATGAAATTGAGAAAAATATCCCTTGGCCGTCGCTCCAAGGCCACCAGATAAAGGTTCAAGACGCGGGTGTAGGAACGAGTCTGGTAATAGCGGTTTGCCAGAAGAACTAGATGGACTACATCGCAACGACTCTCCGCAAAGGCGCGGTAGAGAATCGAGGAACGATCCTCGCAACGACTGAGCACGCCGTGCATGAGTTCGACCACTTCGCTATGCTCCTCAGGGAGGCTTTCTTCCTGAAGAAGCCGGAAGCCGACTCGAAACGCATCCTCGCTCTCGCCGGCGGCCAGTGCCGCGCGCAGCACCGCTAGCCGAAGCGGCCGCTCCAACGGATTCCCCATCTGTCCAAAAATTCTCTTTTTGGAAAAGCGAATGAGCGCAACGGAGGCGAACTCCTTGGCCTCGGAGAACTTCCCTAGGGCACTGTAGCTCTCCACGATGGAAACCGCGAGCGCGAGAAACTCCGCGCGGCCCAATGCCGTGATCGCTTCCCGCGCCGTTACGCGATCCATAACGCCACTAACGCCTTCCGGGTGGGATGGATTCCGCGAAAGATCCACCCGAGCATCTGTTCGTAACGCGCCCGACAAGGGACTCGTGGGAGGCTCATTGGACGACACCTTTAAAAAGAGCTGCGCCATGGCGGGATCGGTGAATTGCTTACTCACCTCCTCCAAGCTGGGGAGCTCGTAGGAGGACGGGCTCACCTCATCCTCGACTGCCTCGGCGTCCCGTTCAGGCCTCGGGGCATCGCCCGCGGCATCATCGCGCTGCGCCTTTAGCGACTCCTCGAAACCCTCCAGCTCCGACAGATCACGGTCCTTCTCACCGACGGTGGTGAAGTTTGCCATCTTCGGCATCTCGGCCGGACGCAACGGCGGCGTCTGCTTCGTATTTGGCTTCTTGCAAGCACTCGATGGCTCGTTTACCGCGGCGGTTTCCTCTTCTTTGATATCAACCGGGGCACCCTCTGGCCGGTCCGTCGGGGCTTCCACCTCCTCGCCGTCCTTGGGGGCCTCCCAAAAGCTCCGCGGGTCGCGCTTGGTCACCTCTTCGATGCGCCGCCGCTTCCGTTCGACTTCCTCCTCCTCCTTGGCTTTTTTCGACTCCAAAACAGCATCGACATCGTCTGGCGTGGTACCCATCCCGGTTTGGCCTTTCCCCTGCAATCCCTCCCGACTGCCGCCAGCTCGTCGCTTGCGGTTAAACCGAAAAATGGTGGAGCTATCCTTGAGTTTCGCCTCCTCGTCCTCGCGGCTCCACCCGGCCGCGATGGATGCCGCCGCGGACGCGCCATACGCGGTCGTCGTCAGCGACGCACGATCCCGCCGGGCGAGCTGCTGCCGCACCACCGACGTTCCCGATCGTATCGACGCCGCGAGCGAGGCGGAGAGTCGATTGGAAGGGTCCACACCACCAGACCCTCGAATCATCCCCACCACGGACACGGATGGAATGATCGCGGAAGTCGCGCGCGAGAGTGTGGGCAGGAGAAAGGGCGCGGAGGATCGCCGGGAGGAGCCCGGCGCGACCGACATCGTATCGCCGTCCTCGGCGCTGGAGAGAATCATCTCGAACATCGAAACGCCCAGCGCGATCACCTCCACATACCGGCGAGACTTGAAGAAAATACGCACGAGAAAGGCCCCTAGTTGAATACGACACAAAGCCGCATCCGTTTCCTTCGGTGTAAGTATACGCACCGCCTCATCGAGATCTTTCTTTTCATAAAAATACAACCTCCCAAGGAGTAGGCGCGCCTGTAAATGATCTGGCTCAAACGACAACGCCATTTTTGCTTCCTGCTCGGCGTCTTTGATGTCTCTAATTGAGAAACCGCTCTGCGCCTGGCCGTAGTGGGCCGCTGCGAGGACCGTTTTAACCTCTCGCAGCTCTGTTTCCACCTCCTTCAGACGTTCGTGTAGGGCCTGAAGTCGCTTTGTGCGAATCTCTTCGCCACCATGGCTCTTTTCTCCCCCATCAGCCACCCCAATCGCTCGCTCCAGTTGGAGCACATCCGCCGCCAAGCGTCGGTGGATAGCGTCGTAGTACCGTACACAGCTCGCAAATATCATCCTTGCTTCAGTGTGCATTCCAGTTTTCTGAAGAGTCATCGCCATATCCAAAAGCACATCCGCGTATGTATCCATGGGGCATGTATCGATCAGATAATGAACAACATCCTTACAAGGTTGCTTCATGTCTTCAAGAAAGGCATACGCCGTCCCCAACCGCACAAGAAGATCGGGCGGTAAATCTAATATCGGTACGTGCAGACATGCAGCCGTGAACTCCATCACCTGCACAGTTTCCATAAATTTCCCACTCTCATTGAGAAGCTCTGTGTGCACGTTTATCAATATCAAGAAGTTGCGCTTCGCGTCCGGCGTGCTCAAATCGATACGATCCCCGTAAAGGCTTTTTATGGGCTCCGCCGACCCATCCCCCGGTGTTCTTGGCAGCGCTGAATCACTGGCCATATGTCTAGTTGTCTCTTCCGTCAAGCTGGTAAAGTCAAACTCATCCAGGTCTTCTGCCTCGGAATCGGGCATTTCACGCATCACGTCTGGTTTGTTTGTGAGGCCGCTTTGAGGGAACGGAGTTGTAGTATTTTCCTTATCCTCAGCATCTACTTTGTCAGTATCCTCAGGCACGTTATAGAACCGCACTCGCTTCGACACACGTTTACGTTTGGTTTCCTTTTTCGAATCGGGATTCCCATCGCTAGTATCGACATTATCTCGAGCGGTATTTGCCTCCACGCCTGACACCAACGGAACTGCATCACCTACAGGCATATCTACGCAGAATGTATTTTTAAGGCTACTCGTGATCAACCCCTCCAGCGAGGACCACTTTCCTAGCTGGAAGTACAGAGAAGAGAGCAATGCAAACACGTCAAAATCCCTACAGCGGCTACTATTCCAGAGCGGGACTAGCACATTAGTTGCACGACGTATTTCGCCCAGGCCGATGAGTAGATCTGCAAGCTGGAGCTGGAGGGTTCGGTACCGCACCGGGCACTTCTCCATCGCGGACAGGCGTTGCAAGCAGACCACGGATTTGTAGTACAACTGCTCGGATAGGAACTCGTGCAGAAGCTCCTCCCAGAGCACCATATCGTGGGCTAGAAAGGCCTGCAGGAGTCGGAAATCACTGGCGCGGTCGTACTGCCCCTTGGATTCGGCAATAACAGCTAAAAGTGCGAAGAGATGGGCCGTAGGGCGAATGCGCAGTGCTAATGTTGCTTCCCGCTCGGCTAACTGATTATCGCCCTTCAAGAAGGCATTCTGCGTGTTTGTAACGTGCTCCTCAAACGAGTGATACAAAGCAAACGTGCCGAACTCCTTGCGTCCCACTTCCCGTTGACGTTTGGTACTGCTGGGATCCCTCTCATCCTCATCGCATGGCATGTGTTATGCTTTTTAGCGGAATATACGGTGTTCACTCCTTTACTATTTGTCAATACAGCTTCGCGTACAATTGATACAAGGCAGAAAATAGAGAAAAACCGTAATATGAATCTAAGCGATAGTTAACGAAATATTGACTAATATCAAACATTTCATAGTACTGCAAATAAGGTATGAAGAAAACACGGACTGATTACTTGGAACCCTCCCTTGCACGTTCTCTACGTATTTCAAAAGGTTGCGCATCTGAAGGTCAGAGCAACAAGAGCGATCGGGAAATAACATTCACTAGATCCATCGCAGCAAATCTTAGATTCCGGTAAAAAAAAAAGGTAAGTTCAATGCAAATTACCGTGCCCTTTCTCCCTCGATGACCCAAACGCGCACCTCCTCCTTCAACAGATTTAAAAACAAAAGCATATTTGGTTATTGACACGCCTACGCAGACAATAATTACGACAATTACTAAACTTAGAGCCCAGAAAAAAAGCATATTCACCATTGCACTTTATAATTTTTCTTCCATTTTAAAATAATCTCACTATAAGAGTGCTGAAATCCTCAACTTTGAGTTTCCATACCCTAATAAACTTGGATTAATAAGAAAGACACAACTTCAATTACAAAAAGTAAGGTGCTCCCGAGCGTAAGCAGCCTTCAATTCCTGCCTGGAACACCATTTGCCTGTCTTTTATAATAGCTTATTTGCCCACTTTCAGGAAGAAATGAAAGAGAATCACAGAAATAATGAACATCGCGCAGCTAAAAATAAGCTGTACTGGTGAAACCGGAAAACCTGTTGGCTCTAGGTCGTTGATGGAATCTGTGGGGCCAGGGGCATTGCTGACTTTTCGTGAAGATGCGCGCATGATTTAACAATAGAAAAGGCTCTAGGTGAGGTCAATTTATTCAATGTGTGTCTTGTTTTGCTTTGTGATTATGGTGCAGTCAACCTTCCCTTCTCGTGTGTTTATTCAGAAAAAAAAATTGCATATATATATATATATATATATATGTATATATATAAAGATAGAGAGAAAAAGAGAGAAATGGAGAAAGACATTTTGAATTATCTCACGGTTGGATGGGCCAATTCAATTTGTGAAATAACAAGTAAGAAGGAAATTGGACAGAAAAGTGGGGTCTATTTTTCCCGCAGTAAATATAAGTCCTAGTAGCATCTGATACACTAACTACTTGGTATCGAAGATGAGGTGCTTGTGTAATGCATCGATAGTCATGATTGATGTCTAACTTCAGCGTAGAATAGCAGCATAATTGAATTAACAAATATTTGTCTTTGTCCTTCTTTCTGTACCAAAGTCTGTCTGCTCTGCGGAAACTTCTGTCCTACCAAAAAAAAATGGGCGTATCCGTTAGTTAAGAATTAGAGCTCCCATTGACAGCAGCACACGGTTTAGCACATTAAAAGTTTATGACCGTAAAAAGATCATTGTTCAGGTCAGAGGTAGGAAAGCAAAAGACTTCCGATACGGAAACATATGTCATTCGACGCTTAGAAAACCTAACCAAATCATTCCCTCAAGCAATAAAATATACGTGGAATATATATATATATATATGGGCTGATATATAATAATAATAATAATAACTGATCAACGATCATACCGGTCAGGGAGCCTTAACCATTTCATTTGCTGTTCAGGGGTACGGACTTGCGTTTTACGAAAGCGGGCAACAGGACATTCTTCTTGTACACGACGGCCTAACGCCTCGATTTGTAGCTGACTAGCATTGGGTGCATCGACCATGACATTTACGCCACCATCCGAAGTTTTCTTAAAGCAGATATCGCGGATATCTATTCCCTCTTGGCGGGCTATATCAAGTGCATGGGACCTGCTACACCACTCAAGGGCTTTGTCAATAAGCCCGCCAAATGGCCCACCAGGACCCCCTCCAAAGTTGCCGAGCCCGAAGTTAAAGCCACCAGCCTTGTTCTCCGCTGAGTTTGTAAAGCCCTCAAAAAAGCTTTTCCCTGATCCAGATTCTTTGCTAGGGAACATCTTCGAAAAGCCTGACGAAAAAGATCCGAAAAAGTGGTTGCCGACCGTTCGACAAAGCATTGCCCTCAGAAATACGTGTAGAATATAGTTTTTCGCTTAGTCATGCATCCTTCGTTTTGGTGTTGTCAACACATAGATGAGAGAAAAGGAGAATAGGAGTGCGAATTTGAATGCCCTCTCTAATCCCAAGAGGCAGCACTTACCAGCAGTACACAGAGTTAATTTATTTTGACAACTTTCAATAAGAATTAATTTATTTTGACAACTTTCAATAAGAATTAATTTATTTTGACAACTTTCAATAACAGAATTGTATTTATAAATAACTACTGTAAAAAAAAAATTAAAGAAGATAGCCTTATAAAACTTTATAAAACTTTATTTGCTATGGTTGCCTGAAACTATTGAACTGGAACTTATATCAAAAAGCTTCTTTTTTCACTTTTGATGCCATTATTTTTCCCTATTTATACTAAATCATAACCTTCAAATATAATCGACTCTTACAAATGAGCAAAAGTATTAAACAAATTAATAAGTCCATTCGTGGAGTGATCATGGTTTGACACCTTCTCGTTGCGCTTCAGCTGTGGTAAAATGGACTTCGCCAGGACCTTCCCAAGTTCCACACCCCATTGATCATAACTGTTGATCCCCCATATGACACCCTGGACAAGAACCTTATGCTCATACATCGCAATGATCGCACCCAAGGCTCGTGGAGTCAGCTTGTCCACCAAAATACTGTTGCTGGGTCTGTTTCCAGTAAACATTTTGTGAGGAATCAGGCGCTTCATCTCCTCCTTCGGCATTCCAGACTTCATTAACTCCTTCTCGACTTCGTTGGCGTTTTTCCCGACCATCAAGGCCTCCGCTTGTGCGAAGAAGTTACTCATCAATATGCGATGGTGGTCACCGATGGGATTGTGCGTGTTAATAGCACCAAGGATATCGCACGGGATGATCTTTGTGCCCTGATGGATGAGTTGATAAAACGCGTGTTGCCCATTGGTACCAGCTTCGCCGAATACAATCGGACCTGTTTGGTAAGTTACGCAACCACCTTGTTTCTCGACGCTCTTGCCGTTGCTTTCCATGTCAAGCTGCTGCAGATAAGCGGGAAGCCTCCAAAGGTATTGATCGTAGGGAAGAACCGCCTGTGTTTCGCAGCCGAAAAAGTTGTTGTACCAAACCCCGACCAGTGCAAGAATCGTGGGAAGATTGTGCTTAGTGGGTGTGTGGAGGAAGTGGTTGTCCATCATGTGGGCTCCAGTCAACATCTCCACAAAGTTCTCATAGCCAATGGAAATCATAACCGAAAGGCCAATTGCACTCCAAATAGAGTAACGGCCCCCAACCCAATCCCAGAACACGAACATGTTTTCAGGGTCGATACCGAACTTCTTCACCTCCTTGGTATTTGTCGAGAGGGCAACAAAGTGCTTCGCAACTGCACCGTCCTCCTTTATGCCCTTAGATTTAAGATGCGAAAGCAAAGCCTGGCGGGCAGACAAGGCGTTCGTCAAAGTTTCCTGAGTTGTAAATGTCTTACTTGCGACAATGAAGAGGGTTTCCTCGAGGTCGACTTGACGAATAGCCTCAGAGATATCTGTCCCATCAACATTCGAAACAAAAAAGCTTCGAATGTTTTTATGGCAATACGGCCGTAGTGCTTCGGTAACCATCATCGGGCCCAGGCCACTTCCTCCAATACCAATGTTAACAATATTACGGATCGGTTTTCCACTCTGTCCCTTCCACTCACCACTTCGAACCTTGTCGGAAAACCTCTTCATATGATTGAGCACATTGTTCACGTCCGGCATAACATCCTTTCCGTCAACAAAAATCGGTTTATTGCTCCTGTTGCGTAACGCAATGTGTAGAACAGCGCGATTCTCCGTCGAGTTCACCTTCTCACCAGCAAAAAGAGATTTAACAAAGGCACTTGCACCCCTTTCTTCAGCAAGTAAACAAAGCATGTCTTTAATTTCATCATTAATAATATTTTTGGAGTAGTCAAGGAACAAAAAGTTGTTTCCCAAATCAACCTTAACAGAGTACCGGTTGAAACGATCAGCGTCAGCCTCGAAAAATTTCACCATATGAGTGTTTCCGTATTTTTCATACAGACCCTTCAGAGACTTCCAGGAAGCACATTTAATAAGACGCTCATCACAACTGCCAATAGGCGACAACTTTCGAGCTACTTCATGAGGAGTATTAAAAGTAGCGACCGCCAAACTCGGATTGTCATCTTCAAAGGCGGGACTCCCCTTGACGTACTCATTGAGCTTATTCAAATATTCGACAGAGGACATTATGGAAATATAAAAATAGTTTAAATAACTTTTAGAAAAAGAAGAACTGTAACAGGAAAAAGTAGTTTGTCATGTACGCTAAACGGATACATACACCATTTATGCTTCCCAAAGATACACTGGAATCATCAAATTGCTTCGAGTAAGAGAAATACGACAACGTAGTCGCTTGCCAATACTAGTCTACTTTCAAAAATCTGAAAATACTATTATTTGAGGAAAATTCAATTGACAACAAGACTATCGAATCCCAAGCGCTCGGTTGATTTTCTCTAGAATAAAATCCTTTTCAGGATCGTATTTTTGGTCTTTGCTTGGAATCTCCAGGATGCTAGGAATAACAGCGGTGTGTTGTTGAATCAGATGCCGAATGTCATTAGCGATATTCTGAGTAATAATTATAATGCCAATGTCACCCCGTGAGCACATGGATGTAAATGCCGACTCAATGTCCGATAGGGGAGTTGATGGACCAACAACTAAATAATTCGGCATCAAATCACTTTCACGGGTTCGGTGATTTTTATGAGCCATTGCGACGCGGTTATCCCCAATTCCAGCGAGAAGAAATCCGGTAACGGTGTCCTCATCTCCAATGATACCTACAATTCGCTTCTCACCGCTTTTGTACCGAACCGGATGAGCCATGGCAAAAGGGTAATCTGTGGCAAATCTATCTTGAAAAAAAACTATTTAGGAGTAAATGAAATCAAACAAATAGGATCTCAGCTGCAAGTCAGACAAACCTTTGATTTTCCAAGTGTGAAGTAATAGTTACAAGGTTGTCCATTTTTTGTGAGCTATAATTACCATTCACAATATTCAATCTCTGAGCTATCAGATATGACTGAGATAATTTTTACGAAATCTTGTGTGGAGGGCAGGAGAACTCCGTTTTCCATAAAGTATCGCCGCACTAGATCCTCGGTGACGCAAAAATCCGCCTGCTCTAGCCCATCATAAGACTCCGATTTATCATTACTTTTCAGGTCATTTTTCGAGTGGTCATCCGTTTCAAACTCTCCACTGCTAAACTTTAAAATGGTTCTTCCCATGAATGATTTTCTTTCTGAAAAAGCCTAAGAAGGGGGAGAGGGGGGAATATTATCAATTTATCACGTTATTGTCATCAAAACTCTAAAAAGTATAATCCATCAGTTTTGGTTTACTTCCTGCTGATTACTAAAATATGAAAAAAAAATTATATGCATTTTTCAACATCTGGCCGAAGGTATTTTTTTTCCGAAGGAAAAAATCCATGTGAATCTTTGATCTGGCAAGGGCAACTGAACAATCTTGACCATGAACGAGGAATGAAAAAAATAAAAAGCTGCGAGTGCGGCGCACACTAACGATCTAGGCTATCCATCTAGAGGCGGCGCTTGAACGGGACAGGGCCTGGCGGCGCCAAGCCCATCTTTGAGGACATAACATGCACCTGCAAAATGGAAAGGCTTTGTGAATCTGAGCGTCGACACAGAGTCGGTGACCGTTCCAATTTAAGCGAAGCGGTTCGCCACATCATAGCAACAGGTTCGGAACGAAATAGTCATTTCCCCCATGCTCAGCGATCCGAAAGTGGTGAAAATATTAAGCAACAACCCATGTAGTAATTAATGGCAGCCGTAGTGGGCGAAACCGGCTCTCCCTCCATGCCAATGCGCCCCAACGATGAGTACTCGCGAAAATACACAAAAAAAATCGAAAACCCGGTGAATTTCAAAGAATAAAATTTTACCTATACCCATTCCTATGCAACTATCATTCCTATGCAACCCTCACACCTATGCAACCCTCATTCCTATGCAACCCTCATTCCTATGCAACCCTCACACCTATGCAACCCTCATTCCTATGCAACCCTCACACCTATGCAACTATCATTCCTATGCAACCCTCATTCCTATGCAACTACTTACACCCCATA